GTCTCTCATGAATAAATAAAAAATAAAAATCTTTAAAAAAAAAAAAAATAAGCACTGAGTAATGTATAGAATTCCTGGATCATTATATTGTATAACTGAAACTAATATAATACTGTATGTTAATTTTTTTAAATTTAGAATACTTTAAAAATAAATTAAAAATCAGATATATCAATAAATAGTTTTCAGAAATGCTTTATTATTAAAATATCAGGGTTGGTCTTTTAACTATATTTCAAACCCATTTGTCACCTCCTTTGTCATAATTATTAGAGATAGTGTCAGAATTATGTGTCTTTATAAGATGATATAAATATAGTCAAAAGCTATCCTAATTTCCCAAATTCTAGATTAAACCTAAATATAGGCATGCCTTGGAGATAGTGTGGGTTCAGTTCCAGACCACTTCAATAAAGCAAAAATCACAATAAAGCGAGTCAAATAAATTATTTGGTTTCCCAGTGCATGTCAAAATTACATTTACATCATGCTGTAGTCTATTTAATATGCAATAGCATTGTGTCTAAAAAAACCAATGTACATACCTTAATTAAAAAGTATCTTATTGCCGGGCGCCTGGGTGGCTCAGTTGGTTAAGTGACTGCCTTCGGCTCAGGTCATGATCCTGGAGTCCTGGGATCGAGTCCCGCATCGGGCTCCCTGCTCGGCAGGGAGTCTGCTTCTCCCTCTGACCCTCCCCCCTCTCATGTGCTCTCTCTCATTCTCTCTCTCTCTCAAATAAATAAATAAAATCTTTAACACACACACAAAAAAGTATCTTATTGCTAAAAAGCATCTGAGCATTCAGCAAGTCATAATCACTGACCACAGATCACCATAACAAATACAATAATGAAGTTTGAAATATTGTGAGAAATACCAAGATGTTACACAGACACAAAGTGAGCAAATGCTGTTGGAAAAATGGTGCCTATAATAGACTTGCTTGGTGCTGGGTTACCACAAACCTTCCGTTTGTAAAAAGACGCAGTGTCTGTGAAGTGCAGTAAAGCAAAGCACAATAAAACAAGGTATGCCTGTATATGTACAGCTTATTGCTCAGAATAATTATGCATAAACAGCATAAATTTTATCTCCTTTATTGTATGAACATGAAGGGCTTCCATCTATCACCATGAATATTGTGTTTTCTTTTTTTTTTTCAAAATTTGTTTTTATTTGCTTGAATGTAGTCACAGAAAACCCAACCCTGCCACAGTTCTTGTACCTCATCTAGAAATTGCATCTGATTGTGTGTGATGTGAACATTCTTCTATCCTTTATTGCTCCACAGTATTTATCGTTGTTTGCATTTATTTTCTTTCTTTTGTCCATGAGAAGTAAGAACATCTTGCACTGCAGGGATCACTCTTCTACTTTACCCGTGATCCCATCCCTCCCACCTGTTCCTCCACTTTGCTCTACTAATTATCCTTTCTTGGTATTCCACTTGATTCTTCCTTCTTAAGCTAGAAAGAAATTTGTCACCACATCCTAAAATAAAGTCCATTCATACTGTTCCTACATCTAGCTGTGTCCTTTCGTTCTGTTTTCTTCTCAGCACACTTCCTATAGGAGTAGCCTCATTCCTTTTGCTTTCTGACCACCTTAGTCATTACCACCCATGGTCTGGCTTTTGTTTTGCCCTCACCATTCTGGTGAAGCCACTCAACAAGATCCTTTCTTTTTTCTTTTAAAGATTTTATTTAGGCAGAGGAGGGGCGGGGGGGGCGGGGTGTGGAAGGAGGGACAAGCAGACTCCACACTGAGCTCGAGGCAGGGCTCAATCTCAAACCCCTGATACCTTGACCTGAACCAAAACCAAGAGTTAGACGCTTAACCGACTGAGCCAGGCAGGCGCCCCTTCAACAAGATCCTTTCTTGTTCCCAGATCCCATGACTTCCTTTCGGTTCTCTTCTTTGACCTGCCTATAGTATTTGACATTGTTGCTTTCTTCTTTTCATAAAAAACTTTATGCCATCCACAGTATTAGGTTTCCCTTGTTTACCTCATGCTAGTAACAATTATTATAATAATAGGAAGTAATATTTATTGAGTACTTACTGTGTTCCAGGCATTGTTCTAAATGCATTTATATGACATTACTCATTTAATCCAAAAAAAAACTATATAAAATAGCTATTATCATTATGATTATCCTATTATTGTTATTATTCACTTCTCCACTCTCTAGGTATGTCACCGTGGGCAGGTTACTTGACTTCTCTGGGCCTGATTCCTCATCCGTATAATGGATGTACTGGGGTTGTTTTGAGGATTAATATGTTAGTACATGTCATATAGACAAGATACTAACTCAGCTTTGAGCTATTATTAGTTATCTCTATTTTATAAATGAAGCTAAGAAAGTTAAGTAATTTCTACGAAGTCAAATGGCAAGTAATCTGCTAGAGCTGTTACTAAACTCCAAGCAGCCTGCTTCACAGGCTGTGCTCTTAACTACTACACTGTTGTCTCAATTTACTGTTTTTCCGGCTTTTCTTCCTGGCACCTATGTTCACTCTCCAAAAATCTGTCCTTAATCTTCCTTTTTTTTTTAATCTACATTTTCTCCTGTTACATTTCATCTATCTCATGTTTTCATTCTCTAGCAAATTTTGAATTCTCTTACAAGCTCCACTATTACTTTTTAACTATCTAATACACTTCTTACCTTGGATGTCTTTCTGCCATCACTCATCTTCTCCCACATACACAATTTTCTTCCCTTTGCTGTTATGGTATTACCATTATGCATGCTCTGCAAGCTCAAACATCCCAGGTACTTTTTACTTTTACCTCATTACTTCTCCAGAACATCCAGATAGTTGTCCAGACTTGATTCAGCTGTATCCTGCCTTCTAACAGCCCATCTTCTTTGCTCTTGCCACTGCCTAACTTATAACTCAGAACCTTTTCTCTGAACTAGGCAATAGGCTCCATACTTCCAGTCTCCCCTCTCTCCATCTTGTCATATTACCTCAAATAAGATTAATTTGGTTCAAATATAACTCTCACAATTTTAGTCTTATATTTAAAAACCTTCAGTAATTCCCCATTGCATACAAAATGAAATCCAAATTCCTTACTTTCCAGTTTTTTTTTTACCATTTCCTAATAGCTACTTTTGATAGCACAGTAGCTTCAGGTGTGAGCTTTGGGTCCAGATTGGATTTCAAATTTTGTCCTTGTTACTTCCTTTACGTGTGACTTTGAGCAAATTACTTAACCTCTCTGAAATAAATTTCTTCCTCTGTATTATGCTAATATCTCATTATTTGCTGCAAAGATTAAATGAAAAGATAGTTCAAAAATACTTGTCACAATTCAAGAAATGGTTTTATCTAAAGTGAATTATTACTCTTAGTTATCTATGGAATCCGTAGCAATGTCAACATTCTCATTCTTGATATTGGTAAGTTGTACTCTCTTTTTTTCCTGTTCTGCCTGGCTAGAAAGTTTATCCATTTTATTGCTCATCTTAAAGAACCAGTTTTTGGCTTTATTGATTTGTTTTCTGTTGTTTTTCTGGTTTTTGTTTTATTGATTTCTACCCTGCTCTTTATTCTCTTCTTCTGCTTACTTTAGGTTTAATTTGTTTGTCTTTGTCTACTTTAAGGTAGAAGTTGAGGTCATTGACTTAAAGACCTTTCTTCTTACCTAATAAGGGGCTTAATGCTATAAATTTCCCATTAAATACTAAATCAACAGTATCCCACAAATTCTGGCTTGTTGTGTTTGTATTTTCATTCAGTTGAAAATACTTTCTACTTTCCCCTTTACTTCTTCTTTGACCCATGGGTCATTTAGAAAGGTGTTATTTAGCTTTCAAATATTGAGGAATTTTCCAGAGGTGTTTCTGTTACTGGTTTCAAAGTTAATTCCATTGTAGTCAGGGAATATACTTTATATGACTCTAATCCTTCTAAACTTATTGATACTTGTTTTAAGGCTCAGAGTATGTTCTGTCTAGGTTACTAATTTGTTTTCCAGTGGCAGGGGGAAATGTGTATTCTGCTGTCCTTGGGTGGAATGTTCTATAAATGTCAACTAGGTCAAGTTGATTGATAGTGTTGTACAAAGTACTTACGAATTTCTGTCTACTTGTTCTGTGAATTACCTAGTGAAGAGTATTGACATCTCCTGTTATAATTATGGATGTCTATTTCCCCTTGTAGCTATATCAGATTTTGCTTCATGTATTTTGAAAACATATTAGATGCGTATTTAGGATTATTTTGTTCTTTTCATGAATTGACCCTCTTATCATTATGAAATGACCTTCTTTATCACTGGCAGTATATCTTTGCTTCAGAATTTACTTTGTTTAATTTTTTTTTTTTAAAGATTTTATTTATTTATTTGAGAGAGAGAGAATGAGAGCGAGAGAACACATGAGAGGGGATAGGGTCAGAGGACGAAGCAGACTCCCTGCCAAGCAGGGAGCCCGATGCGGGACTCCATCCAGGGACTCCAGGATCATGACCTGAGCCGAAGGCAGCCGCTCAACCAACTGAGCCACCCAGGCATCCAAAAAAATAAATTCTTTAAAAATAACTAAATACGTACATGCATACATACATTAAAAAAAATAAAAGCCCGGAGCTAAATACTTGGTATATTCGTGATCTTGGGGAATTGTTATTGTGCCTTCCAGTAGATAGAGCTAGGAAATGATTGATAGATAGATAGATAGATAGATAGATAGATAGATAGATAGGCAGGCAGATCTCTATCTCTGTGTATTTATCTATCTCTATATATTGAAAACCTACATTCACACCAGTTCCACTCAGTGTTTTATCTTGTTTTCTCCCTTTTCATGTTTGTAATTCCCTTTTCCAACAGTGAGTGAGCTATTCCCCATACTCTGCTATCACTACCCAATGGATTCAGCTCACCCTTTTCTGGCTCTTGGTATACCTCTTCCTTCATGGGCCTGACAACCCCACACCAGGCCACACTGACGTGTGGATGCCCTCCTTGCACCACTTGGGTTCTAGGACAGCCCCACCTTGTGTGAACTCTCTTCACACACCTCAGGCTGTGGCATCCTACCCTGTGCTATCCCTGCTACCCTTCTTTTCTCTTCTCCCCAACTCTGATCACCGACCTTTGTCCCACCTAATGACTTGAGGAATGAATTTTTCAGAAAGGAAGGGAAAGAAGAATTCTTTTACCAGTATGGATATGTTCCATGTTCTAGTTCCACATATAATTATGAGCAGCATGTCACTGGTTCTGTAAGTTTGTCTCTTAACTTCAGTACTATATTAGTTTGCTAGAGCTGCCGTAACAGAGCACTACAAACTGAGTAGTTTAAATATTTTCTTATTGTCTCACAGTTCTAGAGGCCAGAAATTTGAAATCAAGGTGTTGGCAGGGCCATGCTCCCTCTGAAGTTGCTAGGGAAGGATCTCTCCCAGCCCTCTCTCCTAGGTTCTTTTTTTTTTTTTAAGATTTTATTTATTTACTTAAATAAATATTTACTTTTAAGATTTTATTTATTTACTTGAGAGAAATAGCATGCTTGAACACGAGCTGGGGGCGGGGGGGGCGCCGAGGGAGAAGGAGAAGCAGACTCCTTGCCGAGCAGGGAGCCAGATGCGGAGCTCGATCCCAGGACCCTAGGATCAGACGCTTAAGGCAGATGCTTAAACAACTGAGCCACCCAGGTGTCCCTCAAAGAATAATTTCAGTCTAAATTCTTTATACATAGATAAGGATATCCTGTTTTATTTTGTAGCAAATGACTATATATGATTATTTTTCTATACTAGAAGGAAAAGCACCAAATGTATTGCCTATTTCGTTAATCCAAACAAGATATGTGTTGTATCTCATAAAATGTCTTTTCTTTTTTTAAGATCCCCTTGGAAAGGACTTCCTGAACTGACCAATGAGAATGGCCAATACTGTCCTTTCAGCTGTGAAACACAAGCCTGGTCAATCGCTACTATTCTTGAAACACTCTATGACTTATAGTTGATTCATGGATATGTATTAAGTATGCAGTCACTTGTATTATGGAATGCAAGGTCAAAATATAATGTAAATGTTTTATATGCACAGGCTTGAGTCATTTTAAAAATCTTATTCATAAGATATTGATGCCCAGTTAGGTAAGACTTTAAAAGCATTGATCTTTCGTTTTGTTTTGTTTTTTTAATGTACACAGGTAGCTTTTGATTTGAATCAGAAAGAAAAGCTATCATAACCAATAGGATGTTTTTCTTTTGAATTCAGGAAGTATTCTTGAAATGCCTAGAAATAAAGAGTTTGATCCAGAGTTTGAAAAAGAAAAATCATGTAATCTACTGTACATAAGTGAAAACGAAATATGAGAATGTAATAATGAAAGAAATGGAAAAGTATTTTTAAATTGTGGTATTATATTTTCTTTAGTAATAATACATACTGAATATGCTATAGTTAACTAATGTTCTCACCTTTTACTGTATTATTCCTAGCATCTTCCAAACTGCATTCGATAAATATTAACTAAATATTGAATCATGGAAGTATCTATCTAGTTCACTGTGTGCTTTTATTTCACTAATATATTAATATGTTTTTAATATAATGAATGCCATAATTTGCTTATGTTAATGATGCATACATAGGATGTATGAAAAAAACACAAGCATTTAAGAATTTATTTCCCACAAACAGTTTTGTAGAATTAATCTTGAGTTCCTGCTTCCTACTGTGAGATGGTTTACATTCTCAAAATGCACATTGTTGGTCGTACTTATGAGAACTTTGAAGAAAAACATGCTAAATTAATTTTTCTAAAACGTAATTATTTTTAGTTTGTGTGTAAAAGATATTGATGGGTCATAGTAGATGCTAGTTTCCTATTAACTAAAACCTACATTGACAAGCTTAGCATTGAGAACAACCTTGATGTAATAAAAATATATGAATTTAGTAGTTATCTTGAATTCAGTAGAATCATTTAAAAAGTTTTTCATGACCTTAACTCTGAAAAGTCATAAAAGGAAAAAGGTTTTTAACATTTATATGAGTTAATATTTTTGAATAATACTTATTCTCTAGATGGATTTTTTTTTATCATTTTACTGTTTTTGTCTCAAGAAAAAACTTAAATAAGATCATTATACTTTTAGTTGAAAGAAAATAGTTGCAAAAATCCTTTCATTACTATTTAATATTTTTCAGTGGTGTATTTATAGTTAATAAAATAATGGTACAGTAACACTTTTCTCACTTAAAGGTCACATACCCAACCATCTGAAGTATGACTAAGAAATAAAAATAAAAGAAGTAAACTAAAACTTCTAGGTAGCAAAAACATATGAATACTTAAAGATGTCAAATTCCCACATTCAATAGCTCTTGCAACTTACTGTGTCCTGCACACCCTTCTTCAAAGCTGACCCTACTTTAGAAATAGTTTTAACTAGCTTACTTTTTTGGTTTCCCAACCTAAAGCAGATTAAATCCTACAGATTTTAGGACAGTTATGATAGTCATCTGATCACTATCTATAAACTCATTGGTTTCCAAATGTCCCTTCCTTCTTCATTGCTCAATGTATAAATTTCTCTAAACTTTGCAGTTACAAGCAATGACGTTCCCTGAGAGAGTGAACCATTAGTCACCAAAGGGTTTTGCAGTTATGTTGCTGTACCTTAACTTCTTATATTAAAGGTGGTAAGAAAAATAACTGAAAACCAGTGTATTTAATGAAATCAAGTAATAGCCAATAGTTAAATGGGATGGATGGACGAACGGATAGATAGATAGATAGATAGATAGATAGATAGATAGATAGATAGAGAAAAAGTTGATAATTTCTAAAACATAACCATATTGGGATGTAGGGCAATTACGTACCTCAGCAATTTTTAATGATATCATGTTGTACTAGAAAATTAATTGGTTGATCTTCCAATAAGGAATATTAGGGAAAGAACATTGTGATTATCTGCATGGTCTATTTTAAAGTTTAAGAAGGCATGTTAGACATTATTTCATCAAAGGTAGTTAAAATAACAGTTTTAGACTTTAGAGGGATAAATGTCGTTTGAAGAACATTTAAATAAAATGCTTCATTCCTGAGTGATGATGGATGAGGTACCATTATATTACATTTTGATGATGGCTCTGTGCCTTGGTTCTTCACTAATCCAGATCAATCTTACTCTTTAACAAGAGAAGTAAGTTTGCCAGTATAACCAGTATGCTGTGATAATTTAATAAGTTTCAAAGATAGTTGAAGAAACATGAGACCTGTCATCATATCTGTGGACATTATAACCTAGTGAATTGTAATCCATTTCCAATATGTTTTCAACTGCTATATCTAGTTTTAAAAATGTCATTTTTATGTCTGTGTGCCAAGAAAATAAAAATCTTTTCTAAAGGACCATATTTTATTTCATTCCATTATTTACCAATTAACTAATCTGTTGACTACTACCATTTATTCAGGGCTTGCTTATTTTAGGTACTTATTTTTTTGCAGGATGTGGGAGGGCAAAAAGAAGAGGAAGATTTTTAAGCTGTTTGGTAATTTATTTAATAGTCATATTGAAATTAGGAGCAAAATAAACTTTTGATATAAAATTAGATCTGTTAGCAAGTATACACTCCCCTAGTATTTCTTTTTTTTTTTTTTTGCTGTTATGACTTTTTTTTAACTTTTTTTTGTTTTGTTTTGTTTTTTTCATTTTTTTATTGTTATGTTTGTCACCGTACATTACATCATTAGTTTTTGATGTAGTGTTCCATGATTCATTGTTTGTGTGTAACACCCAGTGCTCCATGCAGAACATGCCCTCTTTAATACCCATCACCAGGCTAACCCATCCTCCCATCCCTCTTTTTTTTTTTTTAAGATTTTATTTTTTGACAGAGAGAGAGTGAGAGAGGGAACACAAGCAGGGGGAGTGGGAGAGAGAGAAGCAGGCTTCCCACAGAGCAGGGAGCCCGATGTGGGGCTCAATTCCAGGACCCTGAGATCATGACCTGAGCTGGATGCTTAACTGAATGAGCCACCCAGGCACCCAAGCCACCCAGCACCCCAAGCCACTCAGCACCCCTCCCTGCCGGTATTTCTTGAAACCTTTTACTCTACCATGAATTTTTTATTTACCTTTCATCAACTTACTAAAGGCAAATACTATAGGCCAGAACAGATATAATGTAGATGTGTGCCTCCCAAAAGTGGCCATAAAGATTGTTTCACATGTCTTTTTTTTTTTTTTTTAAGAGGATTTATGTATTTGAGAGTGAGCAAGCACGGGGAAGGGCAAAGGGAGAGGGAGAGAGAATTCAAGTAGACTCCCCGCTGAGCATGGGGCCCAAAGCAGGGCTCCATCCCAGGACTCTGAGATCATGACCTGAGCTGTATGCTTAACTGAATGAGCCACCCAGGCGCCGCATTCTACTTTTGTTTTGTTTTTAATTATAATATAGAATAAAATAACATCAAATGACCAAAGTTGATCCATTTAGTCTTTGCCTTTAATTACTGTTGGTTCATTTTTACTGCAGATAATTATCTCTATCTTCAGATAAAAAGTAATTACCTAGAAATCCAAACTTCTATCAGTTTTTATGAGTGAATTTGTCAAACTTGACAAACTTATTTATATAGATCCTCAATATGCTAAAATAATAAACTCAGGCAAGTTGTTTGTTTTTTCCATTTGTACAGGCCTTGAATTATTAATACTGATACTGTATCTTTTGGCTACAATTTTTTTCCCTAATATTTGCCTTGTTATTTTGGTTAGAGGCTTTTTTGTTTAACTTACAAAAGCTTTTAATTTTTCTTCAATCAAATCTCCTCATGTTTATCTTTGTGAACTCTTCTATCTCTCCAAAATTTAATCAACCTCATTCAATAATTTAATAAACTTTTTCTTCTGATTTAATATTTGTGTTTTATAGCAATATCCAGCCATGAGGTGAAACATTTAGGTTTTTTCTCAACTGTAACATTCCAAACTCATGAATTGAATATGAAGTACACTGATTCCGTTTTTCAATTATTTAATTTCTGGGATATCCTATTGAAGTTATTCATGCCTATTTACTCATTTAACTATTATAATATTTTGTTTTAATATTTTTAGAGCTATTTCTTACCAATCTCCTACTCTCCTTCTTTGGAATCCTGTTTTATATACCCCTCTTTGTTCTTCTTAAGTACTTTTACATATCCAAAAAGTATTCCCTTACTGTTTTTACTACGTATACTCACACTGTAAGTTAATGTGATAAGAACTGACATTAACTGTATTTACTCTCATCTAGGAACATAGGCTGTCTCCATTTATTCAAAACAATTTTTAGCTTGCTGAAATTCTTCCTAATTCTTATGTTTTTGGTTGCTATTCTGTATGTAATCCATTCTGGTTCAACTTAATAGCCAATTAGTTGGAATAAAAAATTCAGACTTAATAAACATTTATGAGCCCCTACCATGTAATAGTCAATTTTATACTAAATGTATTATGCCCATTTTATAAATAACATTGCTGAAGTGTCTTGCCCTAAGTCACACAACACATAAATTACAGAACCAAGATTCAACCCTGTCTTTTTACTACAACTCGTCTCTCAAAGATCCTCAAAATTGCAGTTTTCTGTCCTTGTCCTCACATTTCTTGCCATCATCCATCCATAAGTCAAGCATGGCTATTATCAGTTGTCATCTGATTACAGAAAGCATTAGATCTTGTTCTTCTTGGGTCTAAGCATATCACTTGGTCAAAATGCTGTGTCTGCAGCCATCTGCCTTAATAAGGTAACTAGTTCTTGGCTAAATATTCAGACCCCAAGTGCCAAGCATGGGTTAGGTTACACAATTTGAATACATTTGCAAATATAAGTGTCCTATCAAGTTGAGGCAGAAAAAAGTCAGAGACAATAAGGATAAGAATGGTTAAGAGAGGAGCACCTGGGTTGGTTGGTTAAGTGTCTGCCTTCACCTCAGGTCATGATCCTCCGGAGGTTCTGGGATAGAGTCCCTATTGAGCTCCCTGCTCCTCAGGGAGCCTGCTTCTCCCTCTCCCTCTGCCCCCTCCTCCTGCTTGTGCTCTCTGTCGCTCACTCTCTCTCTCACATGAATAAATAACAAAATCTTAAAAAAAAAAAATGTTAAAAGATGGCCAGCTATCAAAATTCCTACATGAGAATTTGGTAAGAAGTTAAGATTCAAAAAACAAACAAAAAGAACATTCACCCCCAGGCAGGAGAATACCAAAGGAAGCAATATATATCTATGGAAGTTCACTAACATATGGCACTTCATTCTGCAAATGTTTACTGTTAACATTTATTATAACTGACATATTTTGTAAGTGCAAAACTAAGCACTAAGTCTTCTTAGACACCTTATAATCATAACACACACACACACACAAAAACGATTTAACTACCACATCACATTTGATAGATCACAAAGTCTCACTTTTACCTGACTAGCTTCTCACCTATTCCCCCCTCTTTCTGTTTGCACTCATCTTGTCCTTAGACTAATAAAATGATTTCTTAGTTGGTCACAACTTACTTCATCCCTCATAGAACTATGAGGAAAACCTCTATTGAACACTGATTCTATCCCATCACTGCTCAGAGGACACTTGGGATCCTCTATAATCTGGCCCCTTCTCTCTCCAGTCTTGGTACGATGCCACTGCTTTTTCCAAAGCTGATTCCTTGCCTCTCTGAGCCTGTTCCTTCAACTGTAAAAACAAGAATGATGGTAATACCTACACTGCAGGGCAGTAAACGTTCATGACGGTAACCCATAGTATATCAGGATTAAGTTTGATGGCATGTAACAGAACCCAAATAACAGTGGTCTAAGTGAGATTGAGGTGCAGAGGTGTGCAATCCAAGGCTGATACACTGGTTCCATGGTCATCAGGAACCAAGGTAGCAACTAATGGACAAAGAATA